CAACCGCGTATCATGGAAGGGGGTGGAATTTAAAAATCAAAGCATCATGTAGCAAGGGGGAATCAGGTATGTGTGTACTGCATGAGGGGAGCGTGGGAGGGTAGAATATGCGCCTGTGGTTTCGTAAATTTCGCGTCTGTGGTTAAGGGTGTTAAAGTTTTAGAAAAGCAAGTCCAACCGCAATCTTTCAACGATGCGTTGAAAGATTGATGCCTAAAATAAAATTTAAAAAAGTATTGAAAAATATGAGGATTTCTCTGAAACAAAGACAGTTTCGAGTTATTAAAAAAAAAGTTCTTAACAGTGTATATTTATTAGCATATCCTTTAATTTGACACCCTATATATTGAAAAAGAAGCGCATATATTCCCTATTATTTTCGCTTACAGAATCTGTGATTTTGACCCAATCTGATCTAATTTTCTGTAACATCCTGTATAACATTTTGTACAGAATTTCACGTCGGAAACGAAAATTATGTGTTACTGAACTTTTAACACGTTGCAAAAAAATAAAAGAACAGTTACACTAATTTCGGATATCATTTCGACCGCTGGAGCAACAGGACTGCCACAGAGGGCGTCAGGGCGTTATCCTGCTGTCCCGCCGACCGTATGTTCGTTTGCCACAGCCTGTTTGCTTTTTGCGAAACGTGCCTCTCAATCTGCAAAATGAAAACTGAAAACTAGCAACGAGTGTCCCGAATTAATCTCTCTCATATTTTGCCATTTCGGTTTCGTGTTTTAACAACATGGATGCAGAAATTTCATTAGCGTCAAATTGAACGCTTCCGGACAGATTTCCGAGTGTCCAGTTCACACAGATAGGTATCACAAACATTCAAAATCTGCATGGAATAAAATATAACGTGGCTTTACAGATACAAACACTACAATAATATTTAAGGATGTATATCGGGTTTACTCAAATGCACAGATGTACTTGAAATTTATATAGCGTATTACCCAGTGCTCCCTCTGTGCGTCATATTTTTTTGAAATTTTTTTTGAATCTAGATTTTGAGATATTGTTGTTGAAAATTGTTCATTTTAACATGGGTTTGTATGGCGAAGATGGACGGTGCGGCTCTTTTTTTGCCCATAACTGAGAAAAAAATGTAGAAATTGTGAAACAAAACTTTTCCATAGATAGTACACAGTATTATCTTATTTTTGATGTAAAACTAATGTAAGTTTTGAACATAGTACAGCTGTATTAATTAGAAACAGAAACCAATAATTGCATTTCTGTCTGACTTGAGGATTAATGTGGCAACGTCGCAATCAGCTGACAGCAAGGAGGGAATACATTTGAAAGACTTGATAAAAACGAAATTGATTTCAAACATATACATTTTTCCTAAATCCCATGTACATTGTTATCAACAATAAATTATCCACAACAGATGATTTTTTGTAATGTTTTTAAAAAACTAGATTAATTAAAAAAGACTAGGAAGCTGTGATATATTTATTGGAATAAAAAATACAGTTGATAAATCCTTTTAATATATTTAATGGTTTATAAAAACATCGTAATCATTACCCAGCAATATTTAGGGTTACATAAAGTTTTCTTTACTTGATTAATATAATTAGTAATACTTGAGATAAAAGCATTTGTACGGAATAACAAAGGAACATAAATATTTCTCAGCAAACTTTATATCTAAAAAATTAGTTATAGTTGCAAAACTTTTGTAACATTACTAAAATAGAGATTAAAAACACGAACAGTGAGTAATAATGTAATTTCTATCACAGAACCTTCAAAATTGCATCCAACATTTTCTTTGACTTGGACGAGAGATGGGCGCGAGTGTCATTTCATTTCTTTAGAACTAAATTAACATAATTCTCGTTGTTTTACCAGTTCACATGATTTACGGATTTTAAATAAAGGATACAAATCTTCGCGAGGATAATACGATATATTTGCTATATATAATAATTATATTGTACATAGTTTACACACAATACATTTTTGAACGCGTACGCATCTTTACCCGAATTTGACGCGCATTATCTCCGATGTCCGAGGTCTGTAGATTCGCAGTGTGTACAACTGCTAGTCAATTATTAGCGCTGTTGCCACATCTACATAGTCTTTAGCGTTCATTAAATATAATTTGAAACTACTTAAATATGATATTTTTATATTGTTGTTATGTGTGCTATATGCAAATGAGTAGATTTCTTTGCTATCTAGATAATATTTATCGCAAATAATTTCAATAGAATTTAATTTTTTCAAATTGGCAGCGGTTTTCAGTCCCATAACAAAAGCATAGGACCCCCCTGCGCTCCTCACTCCTCCTCGCTCCTTAAAGAGTTATTTTTTAAGTTAATTTAGTTCAGTACGATGTGTTTCCAATTTATTTTCTTTTGTAATAAAGTACCTTCAATAAATTTAATTTTGAATGATCGCACGTCGGATGGCGAATATGAAAAATTTAATTTTGACCCAAGAAATTTGGTAGCCGAATTAAGGGACATCCTGTATAACAGTTTATGGAGCATTTCACTTATGGAAACAATCATGTTCTCTTTGCCCTGCCAGTGGCAACATCAAACGCTTCTGCAAATATGGACGTCGCTCACAATGTTAAATTGCCTATCTGTTCACGTAAATGGATGTTATTATAGACTGTTAGCTGTCTATAGTTGTCCGGGGAATAGAGACATGTAAATTACATATAATCAAATGTACTACCAGTGATAGCTTTGTTGATTAATGATCACAACGGCTTTTAAACGCGCAATGGCCTAATTCTATCATTGAGAGATAATAGTTTAATTTGACGACTAATATTAGGATCAACAACATGGAATTTCTCCCGTATTCAGTCGTTTTATTAACAAAAGCGGGTTATTATTTCATTAGATAACTAGTATGCGAAGAAATACTAAGAATTAAGTAAAAAAAAGTTCTAGATTAGTGTCGCAATTAGTGTTATCAAAATAATTGATCAATCAGTAAGGAGTGATCTTTAAATCAACAGTAATTGGGCTTTCGAAACAAAATAATATTGTACTCTAAAGATGATAGTATTTATGTTTTCATAGTGAAATTATTGAATAAAATTCAAGTAAAGCTCAATATTTATACAGCGTGTTCCACCTAAGAGGGATTCTTCTGTAACTCTGCAACTGTAAAATTTATAAAAAAAATGGTTTTAATAAAAGTTGTCTGGAAACATGCGTGCCATGTAAAAAAATATTTTTAGCAAAACAGCGTGTCCCATTTCGGGTGGGCGCTACGTAACTTTGTTATTTTAAATGGAACACACTGTGTATTATTGCGTTTTTGAATTCCTTGGTCAATACTAGGTAGAGTTTATGAAATGTACATGGTGTTTAAAACTTACCGTTTTCGAGATAATTAGTTGTTTTTGAAAAAAATCACGATTTCAGCTCTCTAAATGTGGCTAGAAACATCTAAACCGTAACCTCTTTTTATAATAGTTATCGTAAAATGTCTAAACATTCTAGAGGCACTATTTTGAAATAACGAGCGTTCAAATAAAAACGTGGTCGAAGTTGGCTCTGACACATTGGACGTAGGGAGTAGCTTATAGCGACCAACTTAACCTCATTTCTCAACGAGCTGTATAGCAGCTGTCAGTTTCAATAACGTTAATGACTATATAACTTTATTTTAAAGAATAATCGTGATAACAATAACAAACAATTAAAGGAGCTGCGGAAAGTGTCCCCCTCCTTGTTATAACAATAAATTAAAGCAGCTGCTGAAAGTGTCCCCCTCCTTGTTCCAAGCACTTTTCACACCTGTTCCTCAAAGAATTAAAGACATTTTCTAAGATGCTCGGGGTATTGTTAATTTCACGAATCTTGTCTATAAGTCGAGCCTGCAGATGGTTTAAATCAGGAATAGGCAGTTCAAAAATAGTGTTTTTAAGGTAAGGCCACAAAAAGAAATCACACGGCGTAATATCACATGACCTCGGTGGAAATTCATGTTCAGCATTGAGACTTATTAGTCGATTTTGGAAAACTTCCCTCAACATATTCATCGTCTCGCCTGCCGTATGTGCCCTTGCGCCATCTTGTTGAAAGTAAAAGTTTGTAATTTCGTTTTCTTCCAGCTGGTTAACAAAAGGAGCGATAATTTCTTCTCTATACCTTTGCGCAGTAAGAGTACCATTAAAAAAAATAGGTCCATAAATCCTCCTTCGATTGAGAGCACACCAAACTCCAATTTTTTGAGCGTGTAGAGGGCCCTCGACAAAAAAGTTATCTGGTTTTTCAGAAGACCACATTCTCATATTCTGTGAGTTTACGTAACCACTTAAATGAAACCAGGCTTCATCAGAAAAAAAGGTGATATTATGAAGTTCACCGTAGTTGTTTAAAAACCATTCACAAAATACAGCCCGTCGCGGAAAATCAACTTCATGAAGTTCTTGCTGACAAGTTAAACGATAGGAGAACAAACGCAAATCTTTTTTTAACACTGTGTGGCAGGTACCGACTGATACTCCCACCATTTGTGATAAAACACGTACAGAAGTTCTTGGCGCATTTTCCATTATTTGTTGGACATTTTCTTTTAATTCTTCAGTCCGCTTTTTAGGTCGGCCGCTTCCTTCTTTTCTTGTTACACTGCCCGTTTCACGAAAAACATTAACACAACGCTGAACTGCACTTTGAAAAATTTTGTACTCAACAACGCCGGGAAATTGATTTTGAAATTCTATGAAACATTCCTCAATAGAATACTTCCATATTCCATCAATCTTGCGTCCATTTCTAAAGTAGGACTCTATGATAAACACTTTTTGTTCTTGAGAAAACACCATTTTAAACGCTTTTTAAAACGAAAATATTCAAATTGATAGCGGCGATATAGCGCTTTGACAGATGACGTTTATGTTCATTTGCTATACGCTACGCCCTACGTCCAAATTTTCAGAACCAACTTGACCACGTTTTTATTTGAACGCTCGTTACATGCCAAGACAAAAAATTTAAGTCTTTTTTAAATAGCCACGTTTATTTCGTTTAAAATAAAAACACTTCAATTAATAAATAATTATAAATAAATAAAAAATGCAAGTCTTCTAGAATCTTCCCGTAGCAGTAAGTCCCACGTATCGTTGAGAGCTGCTAGTTCCAAACGGTCCTCCGTAATGTCTCCCGTACTGACCAACAACACCCACATCGAGATCTTTCCTGTGAACAAAGTTGTACTGAGCCCCAGCGTTGACATCCGTACCATAGCCTCGAGCGTTGTCCGCGCTTATGAAAGCACCAGATCCAGAAGGCCTGTGGGCGTAGTCTAGGCGGCCTCCCAACTGGTCAGGTCTCAGTCCGTGTGATCCAAAGTTTTTGGCGACATAAGCACTACCGTCTAACCCGTGGTTGCCGTTGTCAAAGATGGTGCCTGAGTGGCCCACTTTTGCGCCAGTGTCGGAAATATCCCATTTCGTTTGCCTGAAGAAAATATGTTTTTTAAAAAATGTTAATATTTCAACCGAAATACTTGTAATGTATCCCGTAAAGAGACATTTGTACTGTACATTTTTGGAAAAACGTCAATTTTTAGTAAATTTCTTGGATGCTCTTAAATTTTAAAAAATATTATTTTATTAATTGTATAAACAGGTGTTAAAATTTAAAAAAAACTGAAAGAAGCTCCTTAATAAATGATTAATAAAAATCCTTTGATTTCAGATGTGAACTTCTGGCAGGTCAAACAATTTTAAAGAATTTTTCTATTTAGTTTGCATTTAATTATTCTCTAATGTAAGTTTTAAGAAGATACATTGTTTTTGGAAAATCTGGGATTACATGCAATTCTAATTGTCAAGGCATCTAAATGCAACATAATCTTTCATATTTTCAATTTTAAATTTTCCGTACCTCGTAATTGTTAGCCTGAATATGAGAATACTACAAACATTTCTTACCTTTTTTCACGTTCTACAGGAACCAGATAAAATTCCTGCTCATCTTCGCTGAATTCAACTGGAATAGCGACAGCGATACTGGCAACAACAGCTAACAAAACAAAGTATTTCATTTTGAAAGTTATTTGTCAAAGAACGATTCAAGAAAAACTGATGCTAAATTAGGAAGGAAATTGTATATATACTTTTTCAACAACTGGGGATGGTTCTTTACCAAAACCCTGGACAAATGGAAATTCCAATCTTAAGCATTTAAACTGGTGTCCTTGTTATGCAAGCTACTGATAAGTACGGGAGTTTAATTTTAACTTTTGCTCTTATCAATGTTTATTTATGCAACATGTCCAATTACTTATACAACGACACGAATTTTGTATGTTTTAAAGTGGAATTTCCACTTATCTAAAGTTTTGGTAAAGGGCCATCCCAAACCAATTAAAAGTGAATATAAAAGCGATTTTATGATGCTCAGCATCAGTTCGACTCCAACGATTCCAAGCTAAACAATAAGTAACATTCAAAATGAAATACTACGTTCTATTAGCCGTTGTAGCAGCAGTAGCTACAGCCCTTCCAGTTGAATACAATGAACAGGAAGATGGTCAGGAATTCTATTTGGTACCCGTGAACCGCGAGAAAAGGTGAGAACAAACTTTTATGTATTTTTACCTATGTTTTGAATGGCAATTACTGAAAAAAACAATTTTCAAAACTACTAATAAGAAAAAATGTCTATGCAAAATTTTACATTTCAAATTTAGGTTTCAGAGATATGAATATATGAGATTATCTAGACATTGTAGCCTAAATACTTTAATTTAAATAAATTTCCTCTCACGTACATCATTTTATCTTCAGGCAAACGAATTGGGGTATTTCCAACACCGGTTTGGGTGCCAGCCACGCAGGTACCATCTTCGACAACGGCAACCACAGGCTAGATGGTAGCGCCTACGCTGCTAAAAACTTTGGATCACATGGACTTAGACCTGACCAAATGGGAGGCCGGCTGGATTACGCTCACATGCCTTCCGGATCCAATGCTTTCATAAAAGCTGATAATGCCCGCCACTACGGTACAGATGTCAACGCAGGAGCTCAGTATAATTTTGTTCATAGGAAAGATCTCGATGTGGGTGTTGTTGGTCAGTACGGGAGACATTTTGGAGGACCGTTTGGGACTGGCAGACCGCAAAGTTACGTAGGACTTACTGCTACGGGAAGATTTTAGAAGATTTTTTGTTATTTTATTTATTTGTAACTTATTTATGAAACTGTGTATTTTTTAATTGAAAGGTTAAATAAAATATTGATTGTAGTAATTGTTTTTGGCAAGAAATCCTTCAAATAATATTTAATAAAATAGTTTAAAATTACATACATAATAAACAGAAGCTATTGCTATTGTAATTGCAAACAGTTTAAAAAAATTGAACATATCGCAATAAATTTTTATTATTAAAACATTAACAAACATTTTTACACTTTATTCTTTTACAATAATGCATTTTCTTCAATTTGTCATTATTGGTTTGTTGGAAAAATGTACTGAGAGATTTAAAAAACTGTTACACAAAAGGTTTTTTAAGAAAAATGGGCAAAATTTAAAAAAACATATTTTTAGCCAAAATAAAATTATAAATATTTTTTCAACTCTTGAAACGAAAATGGAATAACATATTTATGTATTCCTTAATTAAAACATTAAATTTGCAGAAACCTTCTTATCAATTTCATTTAATAAATTATTTTAATTTAATTTCAGCTAGTTATTTTTTTACATAATCTATATCATAATTAATTTTCAATTATATATGAATCATGACTTGAATGTAACAAAATAAAGAGAAATTAATAACATTTCATTAAAAAATATTTAAAAAAATATTCAATACCTATACAGGTTGGTGGAACAAAGATTAATATTAATAATAATTATTATAATCCTTTTGATTTTTGTTCAATAATTATTTAATTTAAACGAATCTAATATTAGATAAGAATTTTTCATTTTCCCAGAAACGAGATCTAGTTTTCTTCAGAATTTGAAAATATTCTTTTACAAATCACAATTTAAAAAAATTTTGCATAGAAACTTAAGACCAGCAATAATATTTACAATTTTTTTTAGTTTCAGACAATTATTTCAAAATTATTAATATATGTATTTAAATTATTGATTTTATATTTCTGACTTTCATAGAGGGAATATTTAAATGTATTTTTGCTCAATCTTTCTAGACTTTTTATGATATTTTTAATATTACAAAATCTACTGGTATTTGGGCCAAACAAATTTTATTTTTAAATTACAGAACATTTACTCTAGCACTAAAAAAATATATATTATATTACAGTTCATAGTTCAATCAGTCCGTTACGCAATGAAGAGAACAATTGAATTCCAGAAGAAACAAATATTTTTAAAGTATTTGTAAATGTGTATTTGCAACAAAAATTAAAGAAATTTTACTTTAAATCATAATTTTATTAGTTTAAAATAGGAGCCCCTAGAATTACATTTCTAATAACTATGTGATTAACATCACTTTTGTAATTTTTATATTAGTAATTAAAAATATTAGGAAATAAGTATCGTGAGTAATTTAATGCATGTCTTCTAAAATCTTGCCGTGCCGATAAGTCCCATATATCCTTGAGGTCTCCCAGTCCCAAACGGTCCACCAAAATGTCTCTCGTATTGTCCAACAATGCCCATATCGAAATTCTTTTTGTGAATAAAGTTATACTGAGCCCCAGCTTTTAAATCAGTACCAAAATGGCGGGTATGATCGGCACCTAAGAAAACATTAGATGCAGAAGGCTTATGGGCGTAGTCCAGACGTCCTCCAAATTGACCGATTCCACCTGTACCAAAATTCTTGGTAGCATAAGCGCTACCATCTAATTTATAACTGTTGCTGTCCAAAATGTTGCTTTTATGTCCAAGGGTCATCCCTGTGTTGGAAATATCCAATTTTGTTGCTTGCCTATAAACATTTACTCATTTTTATCTCTTCTGTACATATATTTATTTAATATATTTTGCAATTAGTCAAACAAGTAAAGCATGAACTCTTCTTTAAATTTAGTAATGATAACTGTGGACTTAATAAAATATTTCATATATATTTTTTATTTACGACAAAAAAAAAATAAGTAACCATAAATAGTATTTTGTAATTCATCAACAACTTCAGAAAGTTACAACATCCTGAGGTTATAACATGGATTTACACCTCGTATAAGTATTTAAACGTGTTTTTTTTTCAAATAGTGATTATACTTTCTATGAGATCTCATTACTTTGCCAACAAATTTAAGGCTACTATCTTACCTTTTTTCACGGTTCACAGGCACCAAAACGTATCGTTGTCCATCTTCATCTTCAACAAAATCGACAGGAATAGCAGTAGTAATCGCAACAAAAACGGCTAGCAAAACGAAGTATTTCATTTTGAAAATTATCTGTTGATTATCAAGGAAATATTCAAGACGAACTGATTCAAAGCTTCGAAGGAAATTGTATATATACTCCTTCTTCAGCAGCTTCTTCACTAAAATTTTGCATAAACGAAATTTCCAATTTTACACATCCAATGTCCTTGTCTTACATGCTGATGATAAGAACGGGAGTTTAATTTTAACTTTGTTCTTATCAATGTTTATGCAACATGTCCAATTACATATACAAGGACACAAAGGATGTTTTAAGTGGAATTTCCACTTATCTAAAGTTTTGGTAAAGGGCCATCCCAAACAATGAATATAAAAAGCGATTTTTTGATGCGCAGCATCAGTTCAACTCCAACTATTCCAAGCTAAACAATAAATAGTATTCAAAATGAAAGACTATGTTCTATTAGCCGTTGTAGCAGTAGTAGCTACAGGCCTTCCAGTTGAATTCAGTGAACAAGAAGATGGTCAGGAATTCTATTTGGTACCCGTGAACCGCGAGAAAATGTAAGAACAAATTTTTACCTATGTTTTGAATGAGAATTATTGAAGAAAATAATTTTCAAAGTGACGAATAAGAAAAAATATCTGCAAAATTTTGCATTTCAAATTTAGGTTTCAAAGATATGAATGTATGAGATTATGGTCTAAATACTTTAATTTAATTTTCCTTTCAAGTACATTATTGTATCTTCAGGCAAACGAAATGAGGTATTTCCAACACCGGTTTGGGTGCCAGTCACGCAAGAACCATCTTCGACAACGGCAACCACAGGCTAGACGGTAACGCCTACGCCGCTAAAAACTTTGGATCACATGGACTTAGACCTGACCAAATGGGAGGCCGTCTGGATTACGCTCACATGCCTTCTGGATCCAATCATCTTTATGATTTTCTTTACTAAAATACTAAATTTGCAGGAATTATTAATTAAATTAATTCCAAAGAAACATGTTTTCTACATGCTTAAAAAATTAAAATAAAGTAATAAAATTTTCTATATGATAGTGGCAATTTTAAATAAACTGCAGCTGTTGCTATGTGGGAACAATTACAATAATGTATAATAATAATTTGCTGTATTATTCCAAATTTCATTTTAGTTGTATGCTTCCAGTTCTAAAATTAAAATATATATATAAGCGATTTTTTTATCCAAATACCCAAAAACCTCTACCGAATTTGAAATATGGCTACCCAAACATTTAGTTTTTGACTGAAAACTGTTATTCAATTATCGAACCATTCTTTTATCTAGTTAATAATAAAAACTTAATGTAGGAACATGTGTGCCCCTAAGACTTTCAAGTTTATTGCAAACATTCACAACAAAAAGTAAGTGCAATAGAACAAAGTAATATAAATTTAAATAATTAAATAATTATCTGCATTCAGCCCCCTTTTTTGTTTTTCTTCTTTCTGGTCAGGTCTAGTAATTTTCTTACTTGTCTGCCTAATGGAGATAACAAAAGTCCACGCATTTTTAATTTTAGAGCCAGACGCCTTTGACTAATATCAATCTTGGTTATATCGGAATAATCGTTTTACAGGTAATTACTTCATAATAAAATCTAAAAACGTTTCGATTTCAAATAAAAAAGTGGTAAGGGTGGTTCCATGAAAAGTCAAACACAGAGTATAGGAATTTTCACCTCTTATTGTAAAATATACCATTATTATCATCAAATCTAATATTTTTTTAATTAAAAAATTCCCGCCAATGCCAATTTCAACGCAACACTCGATTATCCATTGAATTTCTTTTCCAATTTTGATGATGCGCTCGATGGACCATTTGAATCCCCCTTCTATTCCAAGGTCCAGCTTCTATTGGCCAAATAAATGACGTAAACAGCTGGTGGGAGTAGGATCAACCATCGAATTTTCAACTTTTTCCTGCTCTGCTGATTGTAGTATTGGATTTTAAAACCTCTAAATGCTTTAATCTGACAATTCTAAAATATTTATATGAACTACAAAGAAACACACTGTAAATACAAGTATGTATTTACTAAATAGCTTTTTTGTAAAAAGTAGGACTACAACCATTCCAAAAGTGTTTATCGACAAAAAACATACAATTATTAAGAAATAAAACAGGTTTTATAAGTANTACTTGTCTGCCTAATGGAGATAACAAAAGTCCACGCATTTTTAATTTTAGAGCCAGACGCCTTTGACTAATATCAATCTTGGTTATATCGGAATAATCGTTTTACAGGTAATTACTTCATAATAAAATCTAAAAACGTTTCGATTTCAAATAAAAAAGTGGTAAGGGTGGTTCCATGAAAAGTCAAACACAGAGTATAGGTATACCTATGTATAAGTAGAGAAACTAATTTTTTTTAACTCAAGACTATATACTTTTCACGTTAGTAAACTGTCCACTTTTGTCCGCAATTTGTCAACTCACGAAAAAAGGGGAATTTTCACCTCTTATTGTAAAATATACCATTATCATCAAATCTAATATTTTTTTAATTAAAAAAAATATTAGATAAAAACTAGGGAACTCATTTAGTTTATGCGAATGCGTTTAAATTTTGAACTTCCCGCCAATGTCAATTTCAACGCAACACTCGATTATCCATTGAATTGAATGCTTTAATCTGACAATTCTAAAATATTTTAATTCTAAAAATATGAACTACAAAAAAACACACTGTAAATACCAAATAGCTTTTTTGTAAAAAGTAGGACTACAACCATTCCAAAAGTGTTTATCGACAAAAAACATACAATTATTAAGAAATAAAACAGGTTTTATAAGTATAATTAAATATTTATTTGATTCGAAATAATAATGGCACGGTTACAAAAATTGATAAATAAATAAATTACTAACAACTACTGATTAATGATAGACAAATCTTCTAAAACCTTCCTGTAGCGGTCAGTCCCACATACCCCTGAGGTCTGCCAGTGCCGAATGGTCCTCCAAAATGTCGGCCATACTGACCAACAACACCCACATCAAGATTATTCTTGTGTACAAAGTTATACTGAGCTCCAGCGTTGACATCCGTACCATAGCGGCGAGCATTATCCGCGCTTATGAAGGCACCAGATCCAGAAGGCTTGTGAGCGTAATCCAAACGACCTCCAACTTGATCGGGTCTGAGTCCATGTGATCCAAAGTTCTTAGCGGCATAAGCGCTACCATCTAGTCTATGGTTGTCGTTGTTTAAGATGGTACCTGAATGGCTCAGACCGACACCAGTGTTAGATACACCCCATTTGGTTGCTTGTCTAGAACATAAAAGATACAGTGAATGATAAACTGTTAAAAAAGGACTAATGTTAGGAAGTGCCATGAGTAATAATATTTACGTATTTATTATTTCACATTCCAAAGTATTTTGAAATATGTAAATAAGTAACTTTTATAATATTGCTATATAAATACTACTGCGAATGTAGATAACTTTTTATCTTATACAGGGCTGGAAAATCCACATGGTCCATCTGCCTTTACATGAGAGCGACAATGTAAAGAAATCCGTGCGATAGACGAGGATAGCTATAGTGAAGACGTTTCATAATCTGAATAGCCACTGCCCGGTTCGGGTTAGAAGTGGGACTGACTATTCAGATTATGAAACATCTTCAATGTAACCATCCTTGTCTATCGCACGGATTTCTATGACTTACTTTATCGCTCTCACGTAACGGCTGATGTACCATGGGGACTTTCCGAACCTGTATACATAAAAGATAAATTCTTCTATGTATAATCCTTAACTGACGTTACATTAGTTTATAATTCACGAGAATTGAAATGAATTAAAACTCACTGTAAATTAAAAATGTTTTTAAGAATCAGTAAACAAATATCTACGTCACAAATCAGGGGTTGGTTTAAAATAACACATTTTTGTATTTTTTTTTAAAATATAAAAACGAATTCAAATAATTGACTATTACTTTGGATGTACGTAGGTAAGTCCTGTTCATTAGATTTTGATCAGAAACATCAAAGACAGACAGTAATGAAAATATATAAACAATTAAATTTGTGTACTTAATTTTTACAATGCTGTATATGTTATCAACTTCTCATTGGGCGATTTGAAGTGTGGCAAAATTCCAAAAAAAAACAATTGCAATTATAAAAATTGTTATTAAAGTATAAATTTTATTATTTTTCCATTTTAGTTAGCATGATGTCACTTAATGTAGGCAAAACATATACTGTCGAAACTAAACAGAAAAATAAAAAATAAAATATATTTCTTACCTCTTCTCTCGGCTCACTGGCACTAGGTAGTATTGCTGTCCCTCTTCATCTTCAGCTACTTCAATCGGAACAGCAACAGCGACTGCAACGGCAGCAACGAAAAAAACGAAAAATTTCATTTTGAACCGTTTAGGTATGTTATGAAGCTTTTGCGAATGAGCTAGTTGTACTGATGTTGAGCTTGTGAAGGGGCGCTTAAATATTAATTTCCAAGCGAATGGTTCTTCACCGAAATCCCGGAGAAACGGAAATCCCTGTTCTGCGAGTCTGTATCAAGCGCCTGGCTTACGCATCGTTGATAAGAATGTGTTCAACTCTTACGATTATCGTTGTTTGTATTTAGTCAACTGGTGAATTCTGTTAATTCTTGGAAATGATTATTAATTGCGAATAATTAAATTATTTTTTCAATTCAACCCGTCATAAGGTGATTTACTCTTTTTGTATTGTAAAAACCAATTAGACTGGAATTTTATACAGGATTTCCCACTGAAAATCACTACTGCTAACGTCTTTCTCTAAAAGGCCTTTTTTTTAATTTTCAATTTCAAAAATATACATATGTCATATGTTTCTTTCAGTAGTTTTTTTTCTAAGTCATTGTAGTTATTACAGTCTTCTGGGCACCATTTTATTATTATCATCACTATTATTATTAAATTTAAATTAAATTGTAACAAATTAAAAAGAAATTAATGTCATATCAATTAAAACATATTTAAAAAATGATGGTTGTTCTACTAAAAAATAATATTAATAATAATTATTACAATTCTTTTAATTTTTGTTCAATGATTTTTTTTATTGAAATGTCGATTGAAATTAAGATGAATATTTTTTAAATTGAACTGCAATTTTTTATTATCCTAGATACGGGATCTAATTCAGAATTTTTAAATACTCTTACAATCCACAACTAAAAAAAATATTGCGTAGAATCTTAAGACCAGCAGTAATATTTACAGATTTTTTTAGTTTCGCACAATTATTTCAAAATTATTAATATATTTAAATTAAATTTACATTTCTTAGCATTTGACTTTTATAGGAGGAATATTTATATATATTTTTCCGAATGTATCAGTCCTCAGCTTCTAGGCTTTTCTTGATTTGATATATTTTTTATGATCTATGTAGTATTACAAAGTCTACTGCTATTTGGGCCAATTTTGTTTTAATAAAGGGCATTTGATACGTAAAATGGAATTAAATTATGTTTAATACGTACACAAAACAAATTAATTTTTTTAATCAAGATTTATGTAATAGAATTAGACAAGCATGTCGACAAATAACACCACATCAGTTGAGGAGAGTTATTAGAAATAAGAGTAGGCGAAACAGTGCATAAAAAAATGGTATGGTGATGGGTTAATAGAAAACATAATATATTATATTCAGGGTGTAACGGATGCTGATGGTCAAACTTCAGGGGGTTATTATACAAGTAATTTTCAACAAAAAAGTGATATAAGATTTTTTTGGAAAGTTGATAGTTGCTCTTTTATTTAACATATTTTGATTTCAAAAAATTTTGTGACTTTTTTCATAAAAACATAAATATCTGTTATTCTTACAGCCACATCAAATTTAGATGTACCATCGTTAAATTTACTACAAGGTGAGCATATAAGAGTGTTTAAAAAATCTTGTATACCAGGTGCTGTAAAAAGTTAATTGTAATAATTGTAAAATGAGCAAAATTAGTGGTATCTCCTTATTGGTGGTAACGCCAAAAATTTGTTAATGAGGACGTGTTTTTTCTTCAGCAAAAACTACTGTATTTAGTAAGCTTTTCAACGATATACGAGTATCAACTTTTGACTTTGCTATTTTTTTTTTGGCAACAATATCAAGGGCAAAGGTAGTAAAACCGTAAAAATCGAAAATACATAAACTTTATAGTACTTTATTTTTATTTTAAGTCTGTTCGTATTATTTATTACATGCGTGAATTTTTTGTGGGAGTTTCTTCAAAAAGCTGTTTTTTTAAATCTCCCTTTTTCTCCTATAATCCGAAATATTGTTGCAAACGTGTTTTTGTTTAGAATGCGTCTTTCATGATATATAGATGCCAAGGCGGCTGTGAAAAACAATATTGACACAACTGTCGAAAATCATAAAATTACTTTAGTGTTCTTGTTGATTACTCAAGTATCTAAACTGAAGATGCCACGTTTTTCCACAAATAACGAGTATAGAGATATTTTATTTGTGTATGGTGTTTGCAATGGAAATTCTAGAGCAGCAGTTGCATCTCGTAGTAAATTTAACGCTCTTTCCGACGGTATGTCTAAATTTGATGTGGCTGTAAGAATAACAGAGATATTTTTGTTTTTATGAAAAAAGTCACAAAATTTTTTGAAATCAAAATATGTTAAATAAATGAGCAACTATCAACTTTCCAAAAAAATGTTACAATTACTTGTATAATAACCCCCTAAAGTTTGGCCATCAGCATGCGTTACACCCTGTATAATAGTATTTAAATGTTATTTCGTTGTGAAACTCTTTCTGGTACAATAAAAATAAAATAATAATTTGGTTATAATATTGTGCGCATCCTGTATGAGTGAAATCAATTTCCACTGTTAACACAAGACACTCTGCAATGAGTGAAATTTTTTGTTTGCACTTATTTTGTGAACACCCTGTAAAAATTATAATAAGGAAAATTTGTATTTAGGGTTTTGAGGTGCGATCAAATCGAAAATGTTATCTATTTCCTTCTTCAAAAAATGCCTAATATGTTTTTTAATTTTTGAGGGTCTTTATTAATGATAGTAGGCCCTAGAAAAAACCACATGTGAAAACATAAAATATCAAAAAGTAGGCCTCTTTGAGTAATATCACATAAAAAAAAAGAAAAAGAAATAACAACGTCAAAAAGTGGCTATGATATTCTCAACAAATGGCATAAAAAGAAAAAAAATAATTTTTGTTATTTGTTCCAGCACCTAAAAAAATTAATATTATATTACAGTTCAGAGTTAAATTAGTTCATTGTTTATTATGACACTGAATCCCAGCAAAAAAAGGTTTTTTTAAAATATATTTGTAAAGGTGTATTTACCATAAAAATTAAACAAATTTTCTTTAAATCATAATTTTATTAGTTTAAAATACTAACCTTACACTTCTAGTAACTGTGTGTTTAAATATCACTTTTTAAATGTTTATGTTAGTAATTAAAAACATTAGGAAATAAATATATTCAGTAATTTAAAGTAAGTCTTCTAAAATCTTCCTGTGGCAGTAAGTCCCACATATCCTTGAGGCTTTCCAGTCCCAAACGGTCCTCCAAAGTGTCTCTCGTACTGGCCAACAACGCCCACATCGAAATCCTTTTTGTGAACAAAGTTATACTGAGCCCCAGCTTTTACATCCGTACCAAAATGACGCGTTTGATCGGCACCTAAGAAAACATTAGAAGCGGAAGGCTTATGGGCGTAATCCAGACGTCCTCCAAATTGATCGAGTCCACGTGTACCAAAGTTCTTGGTGGCATAGGCGCTACCATCCAGTTTATGGCTGTTGCTGTCGAAAATGTTGCCTTTATGTCCAAGGGTCACCCCTGTGTTGGAAATATCCAATTTTGTTGCTTGCCTATAAACATTTACTCATTTTTATGTCACTTCTATACATATATTTCATCAATATATTTTGGAATTAGTCAAAAATGTAAAGCAGATGAACTGTCGACTTAATAAAACGTTTTATATACTTATTATTTATTAACTATTCATGGTCTTTTGTAACTCTTCAGAAAGTTGTTTTTTGGATCATTTCAGACTAATGAGTTTTCAAAGGGGTGTCGAATTTTAAAAAGATGTTTAACTTCGGGTAATAATTTACCTGATAATATGCAACAATTCATTGAATTGGTATACATATAGGAGTAGACTAAACAACTAAGAAGTCTTACCTTTTTTCACGATTCACAGGCACCAAAACATATTGTTGTCCAACTTCATCTTCAACAAATCCAACGGGAATAGCAGTAGCAACCGCAGCAAAAACAGCTAGCAAAGCGAAGTATTTCATTTTGGACTCTATTATGTGCAACTACTGCAATTAACCTACATGTACTGGAAGCTGCGAATAGAAAATGATCTCTTATATAGGTAGTAATTACTAATATGGTCGTACTGGTTATTTACCGAAGTTCGGAATAATTCAAAATCCCAGATGACAAAGCACTGGCCAATTGTTTTATGGTTTCTCGTTAAAATGTAATTACTACTGCTATAGGAGCATTTTTTCACGTACTAATAATATCCACGTATGAATATTCATATACCAAGAGGTAAATAGAGTGAAAACGATTGGACCCAATAACGACTTGACTAATACGTATTTTTTAAATTTCATGTTCATTTTGGTGTATTTTTTTCAGTTTTCTAGGCATCACCAGTTACCCAGAGTTGACCTAATCAAAGTAAAGCTGATTGGCATATTATTCACTGCACAGTTATGTTAGATACATTACAATTACACATTTATATATTTTACATATTAACCTTTGTACTTTTTCTTTACTTTAAAAGGAATTGGGCTAATTCCAATCAAGACTAAACATTTTCTTAAAGTTTTCATTTGAAAAACATCATGCTATTTGACATCAAAGACAACAACTGCTCTGCGGACTAAAGCCCCGTCCAGTATATACCTAGTTATCTACCTCACATTAATTAAGAATTATCTAAATAATATAAGAAAACGCAAAGATTTAAATATTCAAACCCGATTAAATGGCAAAATACCATACCCATAATTTCAAAATAAGATTTAATACACATCTTTAATTGATCTATCATGGGGTATACACATAAAATCATCGTCTAAGATTCATAAAAAGACATCTTCAAACAATAAATATTCGTCGAGTTACTGACAGATACAGTTTAAAGTACCTACCCATGTCACAAAAAATTACCAAAATAACAGTCATTAAATCATTTGGTGCTGCTATTAGTAATTATAATTAAAGCAGCAGTCAAAACAAATATATTAAGTATAACAGCAGATTTCGTTCCATAAATTATATTCTATATTTAGACCAAGCGATGAACGAGCGAATAAATCACAACACAATACTCTAAGCTCGGTTTTTCACCGTCATTATTTGGTTTTGCGAAATAGGACATTCTATTCTTTGTCCCCTGATTATGCGATGGCAGTATTACCCTGAAACGGTAAAGAACCGATTGTAAGTAAAACAGAGATATAAATACATATATGAAGGTATGTTAACCTCCATATTTATTTAGAGTTCTTGAAAAAACACACAACCTGTTCCTTGATCTTGATAATAATGAAGGGTTTAGTAATATTTTGTGTGATTTTAGTTACTGCAACTGCTGTGCCATTTATTGACAGGAACACAGCCAAAATAGATTTTGTGCAGAGACGACCAAAAAGGTAAACCAATACAGTTAAATACCATTTTCTTGATAAATATACAATAAATTGTTTTCTTTCGTTAAGAAAATAGACCATGATATTGTTTAAAGCTATAAATACCATATAAAATTAAAAGTTACACGATTCACCTCCAGAATCATCAAAATACATGAAATACGACGAATATTACGAATAATAACCAAAGCTTGACATTTGCGTGCCACGTAAGTAAATTGGAAACTCATTTAACTGTCAAATATTTTAAAAGGAATATTAAATGTAGCCCCAGTACGGATTACTAATGTATTCGTCAAGTCTCCGCCTTAGTTAGGCACCGAAATGTCGAACTCTACATAGGACCAGCTGGCATATAGGCAACCATATCATTTTTTGTTTCAGAGAAAACCAGCCACCTGCTGCTGTTTCAATCGGAAATACAAAGTATGGTCTAAAAGACGGCGTTCCCTATGTACAACATCAAGTCAACCTTGCCAACTCCAACGATCACAAACTGGACGCCAACGCTTACGCTTCCAAAGACTTCCACAACAACGGGCCTCTTAATGTTGGAGGGGACCTGAAATATTCCCATCAACCTTCAGGTGAATGAATTAATATTACAGAATTAGTAAAGCGCTTCAGTAATATGGTCATTTTGAACTATTTTCATTTGAAATAAATTACAATCTGAAGTTTTCTTCCATTTTTGTCCATCAATCTAGACTCTAGAGCAGCGGTCGATAACTGGCGGACCGCTGCTCTAGAGTTGCACCCTAGACCTAGATGCAAATAGTTCGAAGGTCTACTTGGTATATTTTTTCGCTCTATGAATAACATAAAAAAGTGTTTAGCAAATGTTATAAAAATCCTGTTGCGTAGCTTATGTACGTTATCTATTTTATGTGTTTGTTATTGTTTTGCACTGAAGCTGCTCTCTTCTGGATATCAATCTCTGCACTTTTCCATATTTTACCATTTTCCCGTAGTATTCCAAAGTAAATCCATCCACACCCTGGAGAAAAACGAAGCCGCTCTTTCCAGAGAAAAGTTTAACAGCTATAGATACCATCTTTCTTTCCTTCACTATGTATCACGCTAAACGCCATTGTACATTTTCACCACTTATTCTTATTATTCATTTTTTCTTCCATGCCAACACCATTCATGCACAATCATGTATCTCTACTTGGTAGTTGTAAAGTTTCCTTCTGTAAGGAGGAAATTATAAAGAGAATCTGTGGCATTTCAGGAGCTGGGCTGAGCATCAGCGGCCAAAGTCTACCAGGAGGTGGTACAAAGGTAGGTGCCGCTGGAGTATGGAACCTCTATAAAAATGGAGGCTTTGGAGTTGATCTGAAGGGAGGTTACAGCCAAAATTTCGGCGGTCCAGGTGCAGGAGCCCCGATATATGGAGTTGAGATTCAGGGAGGGTACGCCTTCCCCAGAAGAGGATAAAATTATTCATATGTTCGTTCCTCGGTTTATTTGGTGCCAAATTATTTATTATGTATAAATGAAGTATTATTTTGAAAGATAAAATATATTTTCTATATAAAAATTAAAATTGTCTTTAGATGTCATTTTGTGTTATCTACACTAGTGGAAAAAATTAAGGGATAAAAAAAATATAAATTTTCGGCGATTTTTCAAATGGCTGTATCTTTGATAAAAATGGTCGTATTGGAGTAAAAAATATGCATTTTGAAGCTTGAAGTTTCTAATTTTTGGATCTTGCAAAAAAAATTTTTTTCAAGTAACGCGTATCGTGCAATCTTAATGAATATCATGAAAAAAAATTTTTACGAAATTTTTTTCGATCTTATTTTTGGTGTACGGACTTGAAAAAAATGTTTCCAACTTAACCACCTTAGGGATTAGATAGGTTGTTCATTTAGCTTCAATTTATTTTTTTTGGTCTCGATATGACCATTTCTCGCTGAGCTATCGGACTTTGTATGAAAATGGATCATTTTCTCTTTGTTCATCGATATCTCAGAAACCAATGGTTGCACAGAAAATCGACGGTGGGTTTCAGAAACTTGAATGAATTCTCTACAAGGTCCTGGCACGGTTTTTAGAAAAAAAAATTTTTTATCCTTAACATGACTGAAAAATCGTAGAAAATAGGACTTTTGGGGTCTTCTAGAAAATCACTGAGAAAATCATTGAGAATATTGGGAAAATGACTAATGTTAAGTGTGCCTTTTACAGGTCATTGTACCCCTAAAACCCCAACAGAGTTTCAATTCGATCCATCAAGCCGTTTTTATGTTTCATTCGATTGAATTTTTTAAAAAATTAAAGGATCACTTTTTTTACCTTTAAATGCTCATAATCTGTAAAAAAATGAAAAAAACATTTTTATCAAAGATACAATCATTTGAAAAATCGACGAATATTTAGATTTTTCTTTGATCCCTTAATTTTTTCCACTAGTTTACATACTATAAAAAACAAGGAGTACAGGGTGTAGTAATATTCTTTGGCTAAACTGTACACGATACAAATATTTTAAAGTTGAAATTTTATCCTTTGGACTTCATCTCTTCTTGAATAAAATTTTTTTCTAAAAATCAATTATCCCTTGGATATAAAAAAATATTTCTTCCCCAATACAGTGCTTTTCTCTAAGTGATACGACAGAAAGTTATTAAGAAAAGTGGCATAAATAACTCGTAAGCAACCTTTTACTACTAAATTTTTATAAAAAAAGAAAATTTACGAAAAATAAAGGAAACCAGTTTCATATTAGACGAAGCGACCGTTTTTATACTTTATTATAAAACAATATGTCGGGTCGCCAGAGGCAGATTCCGATTTATCATTATTATCGCACCCCTTCACACGCGTTAAAAGTCAAAGTGCCGATACATAATTTTCCTTTCGCTTTCTCGAGTTGGCACAAGTGAAGTTCACTGTAACGTCGTTAGTTTGGCACCGGTTAAATGGAAACAAATGACTGTCGGCTCTTCTTCGCGTAGAAGCGGAGTTATCTCACTCGTCAAACGGCAAAGTATGCAAAATTCGCTGTTCGATGATATTTGCAAAGAGATTTATAATGAACTTCAAACTACCACGTAGCAAAATGTAATTATAATTAATCAAGTAAACATTATTAAGAAAGAAACTAAAAAAATTAAATAATTTGCTTATTATACGGGAGTCAACTAGTATTCATCAGATATAAGCCCTTAAAACTCCCATTTTGTCGAATACCTGCCATTTTCCAGTAAAGTAGTAAGTATGCAGGGCACGACCACATGATTTCAGGTAAATGAAATCCGTATAAATTACCCTGTATAGTCATTGTTACAACTGCAACATATGATTCTAATGATTGAAAAAAATTGGTGTCAGTTATGGGCTAAGTTTTTATTTTCGTGCATTTCCATACGCATTCTAGCCAAAGAAAACATGAACAAAAAAAATGAGGAGTTGTAAATTTTCATAATTTGCATGTGTGGAGTGATGAGAATCCTAAAGAAACACGACAACAATGACATTACCCGACAGCCACAGCAATCAACATTAACATCACCTACTGAACTCAAAATTTTAAATCCGTGACACTGAATGACTTTCTATACGCGATTTTCTCAAGAGACAATCTTTTTTTAAATGTTTTTAAAAAATACGACTACTATAAAGGTTTTAATTGCTAAAACGGAGAGGTAACCGGAGAAAACTATCACCCATCGATTTGACTAAAGCTTTAAGAAATAATACGCCATAATAGTCCAAATAAATGAGCGAAGTTATTATTTAAATTAGTTTAATTTTTGACAGCTTTGAAAGCCAACCAAAAGGTTTTTATTTAACTTTCTTTTCGTAGATCGTATTTATTTATCGTCGTGAATATGCAGTCAAACGTTGTCGGTGAAATTTGCGGACACCCTGTATAAAAAAAATTGAATCGTGCATCTCAAAAAAAAATTGAGAGGTATGTAGGGTATAGTAGACTATGTTGTATATTTATCTTATTATATTTTTTGTTTAAATATCAAACCTGATACATAATTTAAAGAGATTTACGTTGTAACTAAAAAAACCCGAATCTTTGGCCTAAAAAATTGAATAAAAATCCTCGTAAAACCTCCACACAAAAATAAAAATCATCACTTAAGAAACTTATTGTATCACACAGAAAACGGACAAAAATGAAAAATTCTCCCTATCTCTTAAGGCTACCGTTTTATACACAAGAAATCGCACTTTTAGTAAGACAATAGTAAGCTTTTTTCCCTTATTTTGAATGTTATTGTCAGTTGTTATAAGTACCCTGAAGAAAACTTATATAACTGCTTCGATTTTCTAAAACGCTGGACAAAAAAATTGCGTATATAAACGCCCCCTTAAACGAATCAAGTTGTCCAAATTTTTCCTTATCAATTTCTTTCGAAATCTAAGACGAAAGCATCTTAATAATTTTTGTTTCTTCCCTCCGCTAATACGAAAAAGAAACCCAAACGTGTCGGCCATAAAGAAAATATGTATTTAGAACAAAATATTATTAAAAAAAGAAATAAAACTTTTGTTTAATAATTACTCTGAGAAAAACCAAAAAAACGGCATGAGAGGCAAATGTTTAGTTCTCCTTGAAAATACCCAGCTAATATGGTCGAATAAATGGTGCGTTAAGTTAATAAAAATGGGAAGTTGGAAATACTGCATGTGTTAAATATGTCCCGATAACACGCTTTATCTAAATTTATAAACAAATGCATTATGTGGTTTTCCAAATACCCGTTCATTTATAAAGATAAATATGGAAGTTCAAAGTTGTTTTTTAAACATGCATCTGCAAAAATATACAGATTAAGAGATCAAACTGTCATGCGTTCAATATTTATATTTATTTTATTAAAACAATTTGCTATTGTGAAACGAAACAAAAGTAATTATTCATTTTTACGAAGAACTAGAATTTTATTGCAAACCTGAACTGGCATTAAGTGTAATTTATTTAATACGAAACAGGTGCAGAACAAATTCTGGAATTATCGCCACCGGGACAATACAGAACCACAAACGGGGATTATTTGTTCTCGGTTGCTATGTTTGTAGACGTCGAATCCTATCGCCACGGTTCCCGGCTAATTTTCAGCATAATTTGAAAATAAAGCCACCAAATGCGTGCCTAACCGATAATTGAATAAATCCAATAACATCGTATTATTCGTACGATTTAGGTAATGTACACACAATTAAATTTTCAACATCGACAATAGTCCAGAAGCGCAACAAATGATAATTTTAAAATCATAAAAATATTTTTTTCTGTAGATCTTGCTGGTCCTTGCTGTAATAGGATGTTGAAATAATACCAAGGGGTCAGAAAAAAATGTTATACAGGGTGTTAATAATAATTAGGTACGTAGACAAGCTTTGAGAAGCGATTCTTTGAGTGATTTTAAGTCAACAATGTTATACATACAAATCAAGTTTTCGAAATGCTGAATGTTGAAATAAATGAAATAATGACAATGATTTACCAAAGATGGAATTTTAAGTCAAATACTATAAATCGTTCCTGCGAAAAAAACTTCGTCTCTTACTATGAAGCTGTTGAGTACATGGGGACTTACCAATCTGCCAATGTGGCAAACATTTTCAGAGAGTCCTACAGAACTGTATGGGATTTGAATAAAGTGTTGCCTACTCTACAGGCTGAAGCACGATCAGTGCATATGTATGTACCTGGTGATAGAACTCCCCAAAATAAGAAAAAAAGTTTCTACCGACATGGCAAATGCTTAGATTCCGAGGTACAAATATATTTAGTTAAATATTTTTGAAGATGTTCGATGGAGATCCATGAAACTTGGATTATTACTTATTACTTCACACAAATAAAGGCAGAATTGTAACGAATTATTATACAAATTTGTCGACCAGTGCCAGTGGTGAGGATTCTGGGAAATTCTGTCGTTACGAATTCCAGAATATAGGCGCTACTGACTATCTGGCAAATATAAGTGCGTTTAGTTCATTCAAGGAAAGAGAAATGTTTTACATTGTGAGAAAAATTATGCTGTATGGAGTTATTGTTTGTTTAAATTTTAAATAAGCTGATTACATTGTTGAATAAAAACTATTTAAAAGTAACTATTTCATAAAAAAAATAAGAAAAAATTTTATTCCAAATACAATTTTACATGTATTAATGTAGTCCAAGATGGTATACTCCAATCTGAACTGAAGAACCAAGAGGTTGGCGGGCAAACGGCGTATAACACAGCTGCACTGGGCAACTGGGCAATAAATCTCAGTTGTTGACAAGCGGTTGACAAATTGCCTAGCAGTGCAGTGAAGCAATGCGGAGTTTGGTGTGATACAGGTAATTTTGATTTATTATAGGCACTTTCTATTAATCATTCATATTACAATGCGAAAGGGAGAAATAAGTGGGATATTTTGTTTACTAATATTATTACAACATGGCATTTTGGAGACCTTTTGAAACGGAACAAAACGAAATTTACCATCAATATAATAAAATTGTTTGAGGACATAAATAATTAAAATATGTTGTTGGCCAAATGAACATATAATAGAAAT